GACCAACAAATGGAGAAAATGAGCCTTAAATTGCATCTCTGTACAGCAGCAAATGGAACCAAAATACAAGTTCTGATATGGAACTGATTATCAGTGGTTTTGTTCATTGGCATATCCAGAAAAGTTGTTGGAATGTAGAAGGGGTCATTCTCCTGGGCTCACCTTCCAAGCGTGGACTATTTTCAGGTGAAAGCAGGTTGGTATTAGAGCAGGACAGCTGAGAGTGGTGAGTGCACTGGATGATGTCAGATTGTTTTTGGATTTTAAATTCTGCTACCAGTGTTTGTCAGTACAACAAGTAGGCAAGGTAGATTTAAACGGGGAAGTTAGTGATGAATAATACTAGGGGGTTCTTTTCCAGGTAGATGGGTATCTTGAAAAATTAGAAGCTGTCATATACATTTGAGTGTAAATTGACCTTGCCAATGGCCATTATGTACCCAGGCTGACCATTAACCTATCGTTTCATGCAGGAACACCATGGAGAGTGAAAGGATGCTATTGACAGCGGTCCTGAGACAACAAATGTGATGAGGACTATACCGGACAATTTGGGACATGGGAACTTTTGATATTTATACCTGGTGCATAGAAATGAGTATTCATTCAATGTAGCATAGTTCCTCTGTGCTCTGTGAGTTTTTCATTAAGTGCCATTATGTTACATTATCTGTACAGAATCTTCCCTTGGAGTGGGGGCTTTCATGATGGAAGCTCAGAAAAGGTCAGATAAATGTATCCTGGGTTTCAGTGGCATCAGATTTTGTTCTTCCCCCATTTTTCATTGTACTTCCTCCTGTGCCTTCCATGTCCCTCCCTTACTGCTTCTAAGACACAAGGATAGGAAAGATCAAAGCATTGCTCCAGATGAGAAATTTCAGTATGAAAAAGCCTCTTTTATTTGTTCCTAAAGAAAAGAGTTTTGTTGCCCATTTTCCTGGCTTATGCTTTATGCCCAAAAATACTCCATTCAAGGGATGGCTTTTCATTTCCTAAAAAAAAAGAAAAATGAAAACTCTTATGTTTAGAAACAAACACATGTACAGATCCTGGGCTTATCTTTTATCTTTGGCTATATAAAAATAGCCTCCAAATGCTAATTTGTATGCAATGGTTCAAACAAAAACCAATAAGATCATTCTTGTGTCACTAACAAGCTTTAATAATGTGCTTTGGGTGAAACTTCTTGGCTTGGGGACATCTCATTTTTCACGTGCAGGAACTCAGTATACAATATTCACAATATGTGACTCAGAACTGGAGATGAAGCCAAAACCAGCAGGGGGTCATCCTACCAGACTTGGCCTAGAGAATTGGTTACAGGATTCCCGCAGATGAGCTGCTGGGCTGGTTTCACAAACTAATAAGAACCAGAATGATTTATATTCAAATCCTAAGGATTTGGGTGGGTTAGGGGTAAGGATTAGTGAAGGCAAGGTGCGGCAATCTTGGTTTCAACTTGTAGCTTCTCCGATCTATGCAATAAGGACAGTAACCCCTGCCTGCTCCATGGAAATACAGTGAAGATTATAGAAGAAAAAAAACTTGAAAGCTCCCTTTAGGGTGAAATGCTTTATGCAAACATAAAACATGCTATGTCAGAAAAGAGAAATCAACACTTTTGCAGATAGACTGTTCCCTAACTTGATATTCACCTTTCTGAATGTCTGAAGAACTTTTCAGGATAGAAACAGCCTGCAGTCAACAACACGGATTCGGACTGTTTCTCCCAGAAAGGAATTGACCCTGGAATTGACCCTGCCCTTTAAACAGGCAGGAGGGAAACCAACAAGAAAAAGAGCTTTAACTCTACAAAGAAGAAGGGCCCGAGGCTTCCTGTAGTCCGGTCTTCATCTGGGCAGGTCTTCAAGGCCATAGGACTTCCCAGAATGCTCCGAGGGTCAATTTGGTCAACAATGTGGCCACCCCAAGCATCTGTTTGAATTGGCTCATTATCATACTGTCTTGATTCATATTTTCGGCCAAGTTGACTGTAAATAAAGCATAGAGAAGACTGTATGGGAAATGTCACAGGGTGGCAGGAGATGGGACCGGGGCTAGGACAACTTGCTTTCTGTGAATGTCATGCCTGGGCCAAGGAACCAACAATGGGAAACTGGTTTAACACGTTCCTGTCCCAGGCATCACACTCTGGTTTGCAGTGACTGTAACTTACACCAACCCAGAACTGATAGTCTGAATTTGCCAAAATGTTAAGACAGAAAGTAGCTAACTGGCATTACATTTCAGAGGAAACATCTAATAGAGCTTCTCTGCACAAAGACAAATCTGTGGATTCCTGCTTTCATACTTGATGAGTTCACACTTATTGCCAATTCTCAGAATACTCTTGGGAATCCCACTTCAGTTTGTAATGGGAAAAATGATAGTTATCCATATTGTTATGGTTTCTGTCTGAATGTTCCCCCAAAGCCTCATGTAGTCATGGGATGGGCTTCTAGAGTTATGATTGATTCATGGTCCAGTGTTGGGATTATGGGTGTGAGTGCTACACCCACCCTGGGGCAGGTAGTCTGCATACAATATAAGGGAGGGAAAGAGGCTTGTCTTTGCTCCTCCTTTTTATTCTTGTTGCTTTGTCTGTTTTCCGTGGCCATGAACTGTTGTCCTCTGCCATGTGCCACTCTGTCTTGGAGCCAGCCAATTATGGACTGAAACCTCCACAAACTGTGAGCTAAACAAACCTCTCCTTCTTTAATTTTGGGCGTCAGGTGTTTTCCCTTAGCAAGGAGACAAAAGGAACCAAGACACTCATATACCTTCATTTTCTCTCCAGTTCTTTACAGACCTGGCCTGTAGCGTGGTGGTCTTCTTTGTGTGCCTGGACAAGTTCATTAATCTCACAATCTCATTTTATTTAGTATAAAATGGTCATTATTATTCCTGTATCATAGAGATCCTATAAAAATGAAACACATAAAGACCTTGGAAAAGTTTCTTGTTCAAGTATGTTTTCAAATGTTAGTAAGTACTGTTGGAAGGGCATGTGTGCAGGGCTGTGTGCAGGGTTAGCCACTGGTATTCTCACAGCTGCCAGGTCAGTTCTTCTGTGCTCTCTCACCATGTACAGACTCACTGACTGTCTCCAGACACACAGAAGCTCAGCAGCTTGTCCCTGGACTGAGATCTGTGCACTTGCCTTTTCTCTGCCTAGAAAGCTCTATTCCCAGTTCTGCCTGAGGCTTGTTCCTTTCCTGTTGTTAGATCAGAGCTCAACTATCATGATCTAAAGAGTTTCCTCTGTAGCCACTACCCCACTTCCTGTTGTATTTCGCTATGGCATCTTCCACTTCATGAAGTCATCATGTTTCTGCATCTGCTGCCTACTTTCCCCTGCCCATATCAATTTTCTGGGAGCAGAAATCTCGGTGTGCTTTTCACTCACCTGGAATCATGTCTGCCTGGTGGTAATGGCACATTACATATCTTTTGAAAATACAGTTAATCTTTTGCATCATTTTTAAAAAAACTTTGCAATGAAAAAACCCACAGGTGCTTGTTCTTATTGAAAGGATGCTTTTATTCAAGGTAGATATTCATTTGAGCACTTGACCCCAGTTTGAAAGTCTTTTTTTTTTTTTTTTTTGTCTGTTTCTCTCCTGACTTGACACTCTTGGAGTAAAACTCCCGCCTTTTTTCTCTGCTTTTGTCTTCGAGATATACAAGAACCTGAGTTCTTTGCACAGCTACAAAGCCTGGCATCAGCATCTAATGCCTCCTGGCTTTGCTGTGTTCAATTTATGAGGGAACAGAATACATTCAGCCACGTGTTTACACCCACAGGTTCATTATGGGATTGAAATGTGTCTGCCACATCAACTGTGAATGTCTGCTCAAATAGACAAATGTGTGGCTACATCTTTCTAGCTCTCAAGACACAAAACAACATGCTGCTTGCCACTGTTTTATAAGTTGGTATTTTTATAGCCAATGTCATTTTGACACACACTTTTCTGCAAATATTTTAACTATTATCCCTGCTCATTTATCCTAAGGGTATGTGATTGTATTTTTCCAAAACCTTTGGAATGTTTGTCCTTTACAATAAGTGGGTTTCAGTCTACTTCCAAATAAAATTTGTTATATTCTGATTTTCTAGGTGTAGCTATCCTAAAGTTCCTTAATTGTCTTGTAAAAAATCACTTTTCAGACGGGTGTAGTGGTGCATGCCTATAAGCCCAGCACTCCAGAGGCTGAGGCAGGAAGATTGCTATGAATTTGAGGTCAGCCTGGGCTACATAGTGAATTCAAGGCCAGCCTGAACTACACAGTAAGACCCTGTCTCAAAAAAAAATCACTTTTCATAATAAAAACCAAGATGATAATAATGTGATTTAATTTACAGTATTCCTCACAGCTTGATGATGTATTCTGGATACCTTTATTTATGTGAGTTCTTTTATTTAAAAAAAAATTCTTAAGTGAAGTATTTGCAATGATCATGGTTAAGGGAATTAAAAAATGAGTAAGGTTTAACTGGTGTTTGCTGGCAACCTCTATGACAGGACATCCACCTTAAGGTTGGCTGGGAGGAGAAATTCAATAAATGTTTGATCATCGACTCTTCAGCATGCCCAAGAGCATGCAAACATTTCAGAAATACACTATAAAAGTCAATGCAGTTTGCAAAATTTGCAAATCCTAGGCCTTCCATATATGATCTTATTTTTCTGCCCTCCCTTATAAAGTACCGACACCAGTTCTAACTTACTAAATTTTTCATCAAAAGAAACCAATACAAAAGAAGAGACACAGAGTGTTTCCCATGTACATCTGGGAAAATCTGAATGCTCTCAAGTTTTAAATACTCAGTTTCAAATGTGGTATGTACTTTGGTGAGTGGCATTGGTTTAATCTGTAGGTTTTGTTTTTGTTTTTTATTATTAAATCACCTAAAAGCATCTCAAACAAACGAATAAATCAAAAGCTCTGAAATTTAGACTGTGACAGTGATTAAGAAAATGCAGGAAAGGCACAGGTAGGTTTTTAAAAACTATTTTAATACAAGATTAATAGCAATTTTCTATCCAAATCAGGAATGAAAAAATCTTAATCCAAATAATAGTCATTTGACAGTCACATAAAATTTTAGGTTTGATTGGTGCACATTTATCCTGCACATATAGTATGTATATGCACACAGAGACCTCGCTATGATGCCATCGTCAGATTTTTCTCATAGAAATGCCTCATTACACGGCCAAGTCAGTGATTCCAGTAATTACTCAACTTTCAATGCAGTTCCAAACGTTCCCATGCTAAGCTGAGTCTGCTGTAGCAAGCCATGTAAACCGTGATAGAGCGTCTCCAGAATGCGTACAAATCAATACTCTATTTGTATAAGTTGGCCTCAAACTAAACACTGGCTAATGTCTCCCCACAGGAGGAGCACAGTGCAAATGTAGAAGTTATGGTCTCCTTTACTTTTCCACTGGCAAAGCTAACCTGCTTTTGTTTTTTGGATTAAAAGTCAGATCTGCTAGTGATTGTGGTCAGGGAAGATGAGTTTGAATTTCAGCAAGTTTGGGGCAGTCAAAAGTTGCATTTGTTGACATTTTACCTTTGATCAAACCATCTGATCACTAGCCTTGCAAAGAGGAATCATAAAAGAATCACAACTCAGGAATTTGCCGTTTCATTCCTCCTTGGGGACGTTAGTTGGTGATCAGTCTGTAGCCAAAATGTGTATGTAATGGCAAAAGAATTAAAGTAGGCTAATGTCTGCAGCAGGGAATATAAATTAAATATCGGGGTTCTGTATCCAATAATATTTTCAATGTGTTTGATTTAACAACTATTACTTTTTAAATTATGACTGCTTGTCCATGAATAATAGTGTTTTTCAGTATAGACAAAATAGTATTTTCTATCCCTTACATCTGAAGCAGGTGGTACACATTACTTATCCTGTCTGGGCCAGCCACTGTAAGGGAGTCAGATTTCCAGTGCTAACATTTTGTAATGGCTGTAATCAAAGTGCCAACATCACCTTCATTACAATGACAGAAGGTTGTCAAGCTGTCCTTCAGTACAGAACCAGAGTTCTATGTAAATTTGCAATTCATTCTTCTCTGCTAAAGACGTTAGCCTCTGTTTGTCTTTTGTTGTAACATATACAAAGTATAATATACATCAGTTACAGACGTGTATTTCTGTTAGAAAAATACATATTATAACTAAAGAACATGTAAATAGAGGCACTTCAATAAGCTAAGTGTTTGCGGTTATGAGCATCCACCCACCCATTTCTAGTGTCCGATTTCAGTGAGCCCGTCCCTCTCTACTCATAACAGGAGTTACGATGCGGTTACAGAATTCAGGGGATTTCAGAACCAACGAGGGCAGGTCCTGACAGATACTGGAGCATCATTGTATTCCCTATCACTATGAAATGAGAAAAGTTAATTTGGGAGAGGGATTTCAAAAACACTTACTGAAAAGGGGTAACTAGATGAAACTAAATCCTTTAAGGACAGAAAAAAAAATTTTATGCTAAATTAGTCTGAAAATCCCACTAGGATGATGGTAAAAACCAGGAAATACAATTGGATAATATTTTGACCACATCCATGCAGGGTGACTACTATTGTGGCATCATTAACTGATAGTCATTTCAGCTCTCTGCCCAGCTCGTATGCATCACTATATCTCATCAATAGGGATATTACTGATAATGAAGGTGTGGAAGCAAATGAAGCAGGCGTTTATATATTATCTGTGTGTTTAGTGCGTACAGAACATGGGTTCACATTCATTAATATAATGTGTATTCATACACATGCACAAAACCATTTAGCGGTGAAAGCACAGGAAAAACAAGACATCCTGGTCTATTTCATAGAAGATAGTGCAGAAATATTTTAAAAAGAAAGACTTGGAATTTAAAGCCATATAAACAAGTTATTCTGGAAAATCAAGGTTGATTTAATTTGTATTGCACCTTAATGCTTGGAGAAAAACAATACTGATTTTTAAACATACAGTGAAATGAGCAACTTAAACAACTGGTCCTTCATAGAGATGTGTTCTACGTAATTGCTGACAGAAAGCCGAAGGTTGGCAGTGAAATGGGTGATTTTCTAGAAGCGTGTAATGCTGAATTAGCTTAAGTGTTAATTTCACAAAGATTTAAATGAAAGATGCCACAAAGTCTCTCAGAATACTACACTTTATATTTCTTTAGGCATAAAGTGGCAATAGATGCTTGTAAATACTTTCTGTTTTGCAAAAGTGCTCAAATATACTTAATACTATTGTGCCGCGTGTGTTCTACTTAAATGTGGTGACTAAATCAATAACTAATTTTAATTTTGATGAGAACAGAGATCAAAAAAATACCATTTACGTGTCAGTACTGTCAATGAGTTAGTTACAGTGTGACTGGCATCTATGGTGTCTTGACACATTACTTTACCCCACTCGGATGCAACATAAAAACCAAGGAACATGTGGATAGCCAACTGTATTCATAAAGCCCTGGTTTGGTTCATTTTGCTTCTCTCTGCCAGGGGGAACACTGGGTCTGGCTTTGGCATACTTGGTGGATGGGTTAGGCTGTGGCTCTAAATCGGCCTCTTGAGTTGAGTTTACTCATCCAAGTGCCAAGCAGGAATCCTAGGCCAGAGGTGTTGTACATGAGAGCAATGGTGTTTCGTGAGTAACATTCTTTACACAAAACAGTTTCCATCACCAGTAAAATTCTGCACACCCATGGCTGGTCCCATGAGCTCAGCCCAGGTAGAGCACCAGGGACAAAGCATGCTCATGCGTAAAGGATGTGCCCTTGCAAACTTTGAATAGATGGACAGTTAGATACGTAAAAAGTTCTTTCTTGATTCTTGGTGCTCACAGGTCATTGAGGAATCCCTTCTCTGAGCAGCACAAAACAAGAAGAGCTGGTTGACAAAACATTTTTTGTTACAAAGGTGTGTCAACCCTGAGCTTGGAATTAAGAAGTTAAAATCTGTGATTTATATATATAGATATAAAAATAGATGATCATACTAAGACTAAAAAAGTGAAAGAAATCTCTATGTCCATACTATATATAGTTTTTTTTTGTCTTGACTTTCTCTGTTGTTGTGAGTTATTTTGTAAGAGAATGCCCTTGTGATGGAGAAACCCAACTGACACAAAGCAAATAGTTTAAAAATAAAAACTGATCTATGGATCTCATTGTTTAACAATTCAGCAAAAAAGAACTCTTATCTGGGGGAGGGTAATGAACACAGGGGCAGAAACATCGAATTCATGTCAAACCTGTGGCAAAAGTAGAGACTGTATCATTGAAGATGATTTTCAATCCAGACAGGAAGGAGGATGAGTTGATGGGGACATCCGTTAGTCACCAAAGATGAAGGGGAAAAATTTGTGCCAATTCGCTACAATGGACAGACACTGGGGGATTTAAAAAAATGGTGCCATTACCTAAGTTGATATTGGGCAGGTGACAGAGAGGTGCTGAGTTATGGTTAGTTTTGCTTTCATATTAAGGATGGAATTCTAAATTTAGGATCAGTACCTCCAAATCAATTTGGTATTGTATGGTTAGAGTGCAAGACGATACCTCCAAGACAACAGTGTATTTTCACTACATTTTAAAATTTTTCAAGCTTTCTCCCCAGAAGCATTTTTATAACCTGATTTGTCACAGAAAAGCTTACCCTGGGAGTTGGCTGTCAATGTAGAACCTATAGCATTAAAGTTCTTTTATTTTTCTCTCGTTGCTTCTTTGTTGAAAATGCAGTTGTCTTGGGGTTTGGCCTGATTTTAAAAGGAAAATTATTTTCTTCCTAACTTTTTTATGGGGGAAAAAAACTCACAACGTGAGATTTCTTTACTTCTGCAGCATAAAAGCAAATGAAGGTAAGAAAATCTCCTGGTACGAAAGATTTGAGTAAGAATTCTCTCTGGAATAAACAAGGTCCCCACAGATAGCTGAAGGAAAGAGGAAGCAGTTCATCTGGCACCCGGTACTCTTTGGGAAAACAAAAAGGGAGGCAGTACTGCTCTCTTCTCATAGAAAACTTTAAGTTTTTGAGGCATGGTCCATTGTCCAAGAGTGTAAGAAAAGAAGGGAGTTGGCCACTCAAACAGCTAAAATGCAGTTTCATCTGACCAAAGCCTAGGATTATCTGCACAGTCTCTGCAGTGCCAGGATCACACAGACCAGAGGCCAGGAGAGCAGCGAGTGGCCAAGCCGGGTTGCAGAAGAGTCCTCTTCTCTTCTGTCAGGGTCAGCTGCAGGGGCCTCTGTGGTGACAAACTCGAACTCCGTGGGACACACATCATCCATGCATCCGCTGCCACTTCCTGAGCCACTAGATTCATCGCCTGGTGTGGAAAGATGGAAGAAGAATTAGACCACACACCAGGAGAAAGCAGAGGCAAAGAACATGATGATGCTGAGCATGTGGGAGGAGGGCCTCTCCCATCCCTGGTTCCAGTGGGACAAGTCCCACTGGATCTGCACCCCAAAGGTGGGTCTGTGACCAGAAAAGATGGACTGTATAGAAATAGGTGGATGAAACACAGTCTTAATGGAAATCCAGAGTTATTACCTACCATGATGGCATCAGAAAAACTTTTCTTAAACAAAGATTAGAAAGACATTATTTCTTCTAGCAAATATTTAAATGGCATTAAGAAATTCATTCTTTTTCCTCAGAGTTGTTGTTCTTAGCAGATAGCATGTTTCTGAAGGGATTTTTTAAAGGGTACTTTAAAGGAAAACATAGCCTAGGGAAATAAGCACTGCAGGTAGGAAACTGGAGAAAAAAATAGCAAAGCATTATGGCAGGTAGATATTATTATTACCACTGCACTATATATGACTGTGTCCTACCTTATTATTACTTTTGCTTTTCCCCACTGGTATTCCCCTCCTAAGAGTAAAGATGGACTCTGTCCACCAGCATCTCCCTCTAAACCAGGGATTGACAAGCTACCGCCTGTTGCTTAGTTTGGTACAGCCCATACCCTAAGACCAACCTTTATATTTTAAATGTTTGTGGGAAAAGCCAATGAAGAACACTATTTTGTGACATGTAAGAAGTGAGTATACGAAATTCCAGCTTCAGGGTCTCTATATAAAATCTGACCAGAACACAGCTACACCTGGTCACATTCCCCTTCCTGCTAACCACACTCATGTTGTAAGAGCGGAGTGGCAGAGTAGCCCTCAAAATCTGACCTAATATTTGGCCCTTTACAAGAGAAACTGCCCGTTCCCTGCTGGACGCTAATGCCCAGGTGCCTATCCAGTGTGTTGTGTTAGGGTGGCGCCTTTCTCTTCTGCTGTGCGTGTCCCTTGGTCCACTCTTTTCCCACACTTCTCTGCTTGCTTCCTTCTTGCTTGATAAACTCTCTCAGATCTGGCCCCAGACCAACCTGCATTAATTATGGCCCACACTTTGTACCTGAGGGCCCTGTGTCTGCGGACTTAACCAAGTAGCACTTTAACATAGTACTGAGTCTTGCTTCTGCACTGAACATGCACAGGCCTCTTTTCTTGTCATTAGTTATTCCCTAAACAATACAGGATCACAGCCATTTGCATAGCAGTTCCATTTTATTAGGTGCTATGAGTAATCTAGAGATTATTTCAAGTATGTGGGAGGATGTGCATAAGTTACATCAAATACTAAGCCATTTCATATAAGGATTTAGAGCATTTGTGGACTTTGGTATCCGTGGAGGGGTGTCCTGATACAAATCCCCCACTATGTGAAAGTACTCATTGTCACCTAGATTGTGTTATTCATTACTCTTTACTATTTATCTCACCAGGAGAATGTAAATATGTTGAAGGTAGAAATTTTGTATAAATGTTTACTACTTCTGGATTTCTGTGATCATTCGCAATCCCTGGCATACAGCAGTTGCTCAAAAAATGCTAAATAAATAAATGTGCCTTAAGCGATTGACTCAATTTTTGCTTCTTTGCCTAAACCAACATGGATCAGAACATTTGTTCTGCAGCAGGTATGTGGAGATAAACTTGATAAACTGCCTGAAGGCATCAACTCCACTGCTGTCCATCATGCTGGTGGAAAAAAATATGGCATCTACAGCAAAAGGACCTACAAACGTTGCCACAATTAACTGAAAAGCATTAGGAAGAACAAGTTAGCCTCATACATAAAATTAATAACATTTATTTCAGAGAATTGTTATGGGCAATAAATGAGAAAATGTTTCTGACTCAGGAAACTGTAAACTTGGCAATAATATTTTCTCATTTCTTCATTTACTCCATGATTTCAACCAATATCCCTAAACCCCTCCTGCTGCCTCGTAGGCTAATGTGTCCTGGATAGCCCCAAGAGACTGGTGCCATCTTAGCTACTGAGGCCATTTAAGTAAAGCCACAGTAGAGTGGGGACTATTCTAACATCTCCTTGAAGGAGAAAGATACAACTTATCAGTATTTTTTTTTCAGATAACATATTTAAATACCAGGTAATATCATTTGAATATGCTATACTAGGTTCTTAACATTTTCTCTGCTTTATCTTTAGTGGCCTTTACAAGGGGAGAAATGCCCATTAATTAAATTCAGAGACGTCAAAATTGCTAAGGGAATTGTGCTGAATGCAAGTATCATGAAGAAGAAGTAATATAACCTTTACAAAGATATTATTAAAGTGACTTTAATATTAAAAATGCAGGAAGCAAATTATGACAGAAAGTTCTGACTAGGAAAAATAATGGCCCTCTCTTTATGAAAAGAAATCACAAGTGTACTCATTAGGGGATCGGGTGGGCAACCTAAAAAAATGTCATAAGCAGGAAGGGTGAACATAGCTACGAGATGTAATGATGGTTCATATGACAGGTATTATCCTAAAATAGAGGGCCAAATATTCTCTTAACTGCTGCTGATTTCCCTTTTCCTATTAGGGGAAACAGAGCAAGATCTCTACCTCCTAGGCATTCCCTGAGCTTTGCAGATTGACACATACACAACCTGGTTAGGTCAGAGAGGAGAAAGAAGCAATAAGGATGACACCAACTCATTTTTATTATCTGGATTTATTAATTCCAATAGTTGCTTTCCAGGTAAGAGAGCATTTTATTACCTGCAGAAGACAGAAGGGATAAAATGGTCAAAGCAGGGGTGAAGTCATGATAAGGCTGGACCCTTAAGCTTCTTTGTGTTTACTTGATTGACTTGGGAGCAACCCAGGGGACTGACGGAGCATACTTCCGGGTGTGTCTGGAAGGGTCATGGAGGTCTAACCTGTATCCGGACGCCTGCCCCTTTATCTCTGACATCATTCCTGTGCTCTGCTTCCCAGAGGCCATGAACTAAGCAGATTGGCTCCACCACACCCTTTTGCCATGATGTTTCTGCCTTGGAGCCAGTTGACCATGGAGTGAAACCCTTTAGCATCTGAGCCAAATTAAAATTCTCTTCCTTTAAGTTGTCGTTGTTGGGTATTGTGTCCAGCAACAGGAAAACTGACTAATCCAAAGATGGGAAGAAAGACAATAATTTGGTATAACAGTCTCTTGTTGGGAAGAAAGGAGTGGTTTAGCTAAAAGGAAGAGATACAAATGACTCCGGGAAATTTTAAAGCCATGAAGTCAGTCAGGTTGGTAATTAGCCTGTATTTAGAAAATTAATTTTTGTGTTCTTCAAAATAGAGTGGAACACTAAAATTTTCTTCAGGGGACAGTTCAGAAAAGACTAAGATGACTTAATGTTGTCCATCTGTAAGTTGCTGCTTTCTATGTCATTAATTTAAGCACATAGGCATCATCTTTTGCTTCAGTGACCAAATTACAGAATTACTGGCAACTTCACATTTAATGCTGAAGAATTCTTTTCCCAGGAATTCTCTTTGTAAAGGTGCACAATGAAGAAAACATACGCACACACAGATAGAAAAGACAAACCACTTAGACAAAACCCATATAGAATTTCTGAGACTCAAGCAGCACAGATATGTCTCAACTTATGATGAAGTCACATCTTGATAAACTCATTGTAAGATGAAAATATCTTAAGTTGAAAATCCACTGAATATATCTAACCTACCCAACATCTTAGTTCTGCAAACTCTTAGTTACTTTTCTTGTTGCCAAGACAAAATATTCAACACTTAAAGTTAAAGGAAGAAAGATTTATTTCAGCTTATAGTTTGTAGAAGTTTCAGTTCATAGTTGGCTGGCTCCAAGGCAGGGTGGCCTGACAGGATGCATTGCAGAGGAGAAGCAGTTCATGGCAAAGCATGGCAGGCAGGAGCAGTGGCAAACTCAGCAAGCAGTAGTAAACTTTGTTCCTTATATCTTATCCAGATTACCCACCTTTAGATCAGCTAGCACTCACACCCAGGGCAGGGTAGCCTAATCCTAGCACTGCACCATGAATCAATCCCAGCACCACATCCTTGATCCCAGCAGCACACACCTTAGATCCAGCCACCTCCAAAAAACCCCACCTAACACTGCATGAAGCTTTAGGGGGACCTCTAGCTATAAGCCATAATAGCAGCACAGGACACCACTAGGTGTCAGCTGTCTTCCTTCTTAATCTGGCTGCCTAGGGCCTGTACTTCGGGCCTCCACATAACATGGTGAGAGAACATTGTATTATATATTATTAATCTGGGAAAAACTCCAAATTCAAAATATGAATGGGTGCTACTGAATGTGTATGGATTCTGTTCCATGGTTAAATCAAAGAATTGTAGTAGAATCATCACATGTTAAGGATCATCTGTAATTTGTTCCAGATGCCAGTTTATAAGAGTAAGAATGGGATTGTAGCCCAGCTTGTCCAAGCATCTGCAGATAATTTTTTTGGCAATTGTATCAGTCAGTGTTTCATTACTGTGATTAAATACCTGAGAAAACAAAAGAAGGAAAGAGGTATTTTGGCCCATGGTTCCCTAGACTTCAGTCCATGATCATCTGTCACTAAGACAGAAATAAATTGGCAGAAGGGCATGGTGGAGGAAGCTTGCTCACCTTCTGGCTGCCAAGAAGCAGATGAAAAGGGAACGAGCCAGAGAGGAGGGGGCCAGGGACCAGATATGGTCCTCAAGGTCACACTCCATGTCCCACTTCCTATAAATGGGCTCCACTCCTAAATCCCATCCAGCAATACCATCATATTATGATCTCATCAATAGATTAATCCACTAATAAACATGGAGCCCCACCTCTGAACACAGGAGACCCTGGGGTGGGGGACATTTAAGAAATGTAACAGTGGTGTTAGGGGGAAGGAAACAAAAGTTTGGGACAGACATAAAAACACTGATACAGAAAGGAGAAAGTGAAAATTTAGGCCACTGAAACTATTAAGACTGGCTATGATTTATGTAATAAGTTTTATGCATTAGACTATAAAAAGCTTCACAAAGTAGGGAAGAATAAAATATAATTAAAGACACACCATGCTCTTGAAGAAAAATAATGATGTAATCAGCCACAACCATTTTTCACTCAGGAAGTTACTGGTAAATGTTTCCTTACTTGTGTCTTGGAAGTTGACGTCATTGCCGTTGTACGCGTTCTTCAGTTTGTTGGTCATCACGCGGAGAGCCATGATCTGCTGTCTGATGAAAGTGTCTGGCCGGGTGATGTCCACGTCCACCTCGGGGTTGTTGATCTGGTTGGTCAGCCCGTCATTCATGATCTCAGGTAAGTATCTGAAGAGAGTAAGGAAGGAATGACAGGTCAAGTGGATACAGCGGGTTCCTCAGAATCTGCTACTGCTGCCCAGAATGGTGAGCCAAGACACCCAGCCAACTGGATTTCATTCCTGGAGAAAATGCCAAGGAGTAAATACACATTTCCTCAGAGGGAGATGGAGCTAAAATGGCTGCAGGCTTGGTTTTTAAGTGTCAGTAAGTTATTAGGTAGGCTTCCAATGTTAAAAATGCTATACTGAGGACTTACAGCATTTCTTAGAATACTCTTCCTCTCTCTATCTAAAAGGTCACACAGTCAAGAGAGCTGCATAGCTTCCCCAGGTCTCCTCTTCATTTTGCTGGGAAGAACTGGACTTAGAAATGGGATAGGGTGTTGTTTGGAGAGAGTTCTCTTATAGAAGGAGACTTTTTGCCAGTGGAGGGTACCCTACCTCAGATTTTAAACCAAAGAAACTTCTGGATCTGCTTATGTAACTACATATTTATCTATATATCTATGTGTGTACCATATGTATGTACAGTATCTCTCTCATCTATCAATTATCTATCTATCCATCTACTATCATCATCATTATCTATCATTCATATCTTCTATCTTTGGAACATTTTAGCAGTAGCCAGTGATTGCTGGCATGTCTGAGATGTCTATTATGGTTTTTATTTTGTAATAGAATCTATGGTCTAACTTGGTAGATTTACCAATATCTGGTAAAATAGAAGGGTAACATCTGATGGTTCTGAGCCTAATATTTTTTTTTGCTCATGCCAAAATGTCAAAATTGTCTGCCCTCCAACATCAGCTGCCTAAAGCTGTCTAGGTGTATTCATGCCAGTGGAGCTAAAGCCCTTGGAAACGTGCTCAGAGCCCCTGGATGTCTCACTTGCACACCCATCAATTTTCTAGTTTACTAACGTTGTGTGTCAGGAAGCTTCGCACATCTGCTTCTTCTTCCTATTTCCCGAGTCCTTCCCTGGAGGGCAGCCAGCTCTGGTGGCCTCGATTTGACTTCCTTGCCCCTTCTACCCTTCCCTGCACAGCCTGCACTTGCAGTTGGATTAATCTGCCACTCTGTCCTGTCACTCTTCTGCTCAAAGACTTCTGAGATAGTCGCTGATGTCCTCTGGGCGCTCACTAGTCAGGCTGTGTGCTGAACACGTCACATGTGTTTTGAAATTCCATCTGTCAGCTCATTAGGAGATAGGTCTGAGTTTATTCCTCTTTTATGAAACAGAGAACCGAGGCTTCATGAAGATAAGCAAATGTGCAGTCTCACAGATGGCAATGCCAGGATCTCATCACAAGCTGTCTACAAAGCCCATGTGCCCCAACACCACCCACTGTTGCTGGGAGCATTGACTACAATTCACACATCTCAGCTCAGGCTTCCAAGTGCATCCCTCCCAGCTCTACTTTCTTAGGCTGCAATACTCACTCCGAGGGGACCTCTTGTCTTACAGTCTGCTCCACTGTGCTTGCCTGTCTGGCCATACTGCGCAATCCACCCTTGGTCTTCTTCATCCATTTCCTGTCTCATACCTGCTCCCCAACACAGGCAGTAGAAACTAGACTTTCTCTTTGCCCGGGCTGGTATAGAAACTCTAATCTTCCCTCCACCTTTCTCTTGGAGCTAGGTGTAAGGATAGTCTCTAATCTCCCTTGTCCTATACTGTGCCATGGACCCTCTCATTCCAGTGGGCTCCCGCCCCAGAAGGAGGGAGGCTGAGGTAGGCAGGGCTTGCTGTTTCCCCCACTCAATCTGTTAGTAATCATGCTATGCAACAAAACCACCTTAAAATACCCAAAGGACGGAGTGCAGGATCCTTAGGATAGAGGAACACCTGGCAGTTCCTGTAGCTGGTGCCCAGAGGGGGCAGGAAGCTCTGAGCTCCTTCCCTTACAGGCCAGCCTGTGTCTTTCTTCATCTGGATCCTTTGTGATGTATTTTCCAGTAAACTGATAAATGCATTCCCGAGTTCTGCAAGCCACTCAAGCAAATCCACACACCCCGAGAAGGAATCATGGGAACTCTTGTTCACAGCCAGTCAGTCAGAGCACAGGGGAACAGCATAGGGCTCCAGACTGGCATTGAACATTGGGGGACAGTCATGGGCCTAAGCTTTCACCTTGTGGGAGGTGACACTGCCTCCGGGCGAATAGCGTCAGAACTGCAGAGATAAGAGCACGCCTTCCTGGGGCCTGCTTCCTTGCTGGTGGGGAGGGATCCCCACACATCTGGTGGCAGAAGTCTGTGTTGATGGTGGCATGCGAACAAAAATCCAAGGCACTTTGTTTTTATCAACACACTGTCCCAAAGGGTTTTGTTGTGTCCATGATATACTTTCCCATTTAAGGTCCAATAGTCATAATTCTCACTTTTTCCTAAGATAATTTTATTTTTTAATTAAAATTATTTTAGTACATGTTTGCAGCACATAATGATTTCAGCTTTCAGGATCTGCCCACCCTCATGTAACGCTGCCAGGTTCGGCTGGGCATTCTGTGCGTGGTGTAAAGTCACTCTCTGAGTTGAAGGAATAAGTCGGCACTGAAATCCAGCCTCAGTTCTGTGGTCACCAAGCCATGCACATGCCGGGCACCCCTCATCACTCTTTTCTCTTTGGTAATCTTTTTGTTTTAGAAATTTTAATACACAAGGAGGGAAAATAATATAATGAACCCCAGGAGGCTCTGGCCCTCTATCTCTCAAAGAAGAGCTACACAGAAAAGCTTTGATGCTTAAGCCACTTTCAAGGTGTCAAATCATATGCGTGATATATTCGTGTATGACTGGTTTATCTGCTTTAAATCAGAAGCCCTCGGAATAAGCTCCGTTTTCATCTGTATCGTGAACAAAACTGGCTTCACAATGTTCACTAAATAATGAATAATAAAACACACAGAGTGCATTGTAAATTCTTTCCCATGAAAGCTTCAAATATTGCTGCCCCCAAAAATGTCCTAATAGAAATCTTAAAAAACTGTGGACCCATAGCTCTTTATTTTTGCAGTAAAGCATAACTTAGGCCTTTGACTTCATCTGGTATGTAAATAAACTCTTTTTGGTTTCTGAGATTGTCTTCTTGGTACGAACTCTAACATATGATATTGGGTTGACCCTTATTGGTATGCAGTTATGTGTGCTAAGCTCCAAGACCTCTGCCTATCTGTGAGGCCCATTGGAATAACTGGCAGGTCCAGGCCATCTGCAGCTGACAAGCTCAGAGGGCTGCAAGGGCAAGGCCAGTGCTAGGCTGCTCCTCCACATTCTGGACTGAGTCCGACGGAACCTGGACTATCTCTCTTTAATTCTGTGCACTCAGCTCACTGAGCCTCATTCGTCAGCAGCTCGCTGCAGTAGCCTGCGTGGCCATCCTGCCCTCGGAATCTGAACATCCAGGGACAGCAAGGGACTGCCGAGTTAACCTGGCTCTCATGGCACCCGCTCATGCTTTGTCTCTTACCATAAAAACAAGCATAACAGTCTCTCCCTCCTTCTCCAGAGCCTTCTCTCCTTTCTCTGTGTATAAAGGGTTGTCTTAGAGACAATGTGGAAATTTAAACCTAAAATAGTTCAAAAAGAAAACGGTCACTTTTGCCATCCTGAGGTAACTCCAGAGGCGGAACTCACGGACGAGTCACTGAGCAGCCGGCAGGCTCGTGAAAGCCGAGTTCTGCACTAGGATCTCATGAGTCCATTTATTTGTTGCTTCTTATGCTTTGTCTTTCAGCAGAAATCCCATATTCTGTGAGACTCTGGCTGGTAAGAATAATGCTGCTATGAGCGGAGGTGTATGTCATGGAGCCCAGGAGGCGTCTCCTGGTATTAGCTTTTACATAGCTCTTGAGTGACATGGCATGGTGTTTTTTTCACTGTTGTATCTCTGGGAGACGTGGCAAGAGAACCCTGGCACAGGGAGCCCAGGTCCCAAGGATGGGTGTATGTGTGCTTGGAACAGAGAGAACCCAGAAGCAAGGACAACTGGTAGTGTCATTGTCTGCCAGTGCTCCATGATATGATGCGGAGAGCAGGTGGCAACTGAGCTCAGCGAAGCATCGCCTCCTCATTTTGGCTGCTTCTGCTTGTAGGGCATGATAGAAACTCACCCTGTGACAGTTTTGCAGAATTATTTGTCTTCATGTTTAATTTCATATTGTTGATGTATGCGCCTCGATTTTTCTGAACATAATAGCCAATTAGGGTGGAAGAGTCCCATGAAAATGTGGCAAGGGGAATGACAACCTTGTGGGTGGTTGCAGGCTTTGTGCCTGGACCCTCACTGGTGAGGTGACAGCTCTGTCACCCGAGAGACATTCAACGCACTTGCCCCTGCAAATTTCCCCCTGGCCGACCACCGCACCTGCCACTCTCACCCAGGAAAACACTCCTTACGGTTCTGCCAGTGAGTCCAGAAAGAGTCTGTTGATATCTGAATGGGCTTGTTGGGAGGAGAGGCATGATCACTTAGCATTCAGTGTTTCTCTCCAGCACCTTCGGGCTGGTAGTCGTTCTGATGCAAGAAGCTATTTATGAGGAAAGAGACACACACTCTCAAGATTGGGAATTGAAAGCTAGAAATGTCTGAGAAGGAAGGTGGGAGCAGGGGGGGGGTGGCTGGGAGCTGCCCAGTAGGTTCAGCATGAGTCCAAGAGGGAGCTGAGGCTGGGAGGAGTAGAATGGGGTATCCAGCTGCTCGCCTGGGCTGCTTTTCAGGCACCTGGACTTTGACTGCTCTTTAAGGTACAGCTGGAAGACGTGGAGCAAGCAGTCTCAGCTCTTTGTGTTGCCACAAGCGACCTCCATGTAATACCTGGCTCCACAGCAATTTCTAGTTCAAAGCTACACGTTCATCCTCCTTCTTTGCAGTTGAAAGAGTCACAGTTTTAATTTAAGATAATATAGTGCTAATGTATGTCCAGAATTCCTTCTGTGCAATTCTAAAATTTGAAAATCTCTACAGTTGTTCCTGCAATATATTGTTAGCAAAACTGCATCAGA